CTGGGACTGGAGATCAAACTACTACGCAACAACAGACTTATTCCGGTTATTATGGTCAGCAATACTCTCAAGATCAATACAATCAACAGCAAAATTATTACCAACAATATTATCAACAGCCACAAACATATAGCTATCAAACGACGACTACAAATACTCATACAGCGGAGTCCCAAAAGTAGTAATCGTAGTTGATTAAAAATTTACTCTCTTAGCCGAGTCGATAATTTTGATATGCTAAGCCGGCTTAGTCGGTTATTATTTCCAATAACATTTCAAAATTTTTTTTGAACTATAATCCAGAAACTCCCACTGATTATACTCGTATTTTATACTGGCTTGTTAACTACATTCCGAAATTCCAGTTATTTTTAAGGGGATAGCTAAAGCCAGGTACATCACAACAGTATTTAAAATCAATTTTGGATTACGGCTAGGACTTTGTATATAGGTAAAAATCGCATTTCTGACACGTGCTTAAGACTGGAATATTTCGTTTAGCTTTTGTTTCGGAATGATCCGGGTAAATCTTGTGATGTACTTGGATTAGTTTTACGGAGTTTATTTTTATATTTTGCGGGTTATATGCATAAAGTTTATTGGCTAATATTTTACATATAAATCTTTATTTTATTAAATAAAAAAAAATAAAATAAAATACTGTCGCATAATGTTTTTAAATTAAAAAAAATTATATTTTTTGTAAAAAAATAAATAAATATATATATGCATATATATATTTTAAATTTACAGTATATATACCGTATATTTCTTTTTTTTTGATTAAGATGCTTTTTTTTTTAAACGTATAAAAATCTAGTTATTTTTATTTATTTATTTTTTTTTTAAAGAGTGGGTGTTTTTCGCAGTAATTTTTATTGAATTAACTGTATAATTATGGTTACAGTATTACTCAAATGTATTACATAGGATTAGGACTAATTTATCCTAGTCTAAACTAATTTAGATTTCTAGTTATGCTACCTTTTTTAGTAATTCCTTATTATACATATTCATCATATATAAACTAATAAGAAACTTCCAAATTGGTTTGCTGAGCCGCAGTCGTATATATATACTTACCAATTTGGTGTACTCATTATTGGTATTTTGGCCATGCTTTTTTCTTATAGGGATTATTTGAAACAAATTTTACTCAAACCTCTGTTTGCTTTAACAAATATTTTCTCACCCTAGAGAGGGTGATTTTAATATCCTTTTTTCTAATATATATGTGTATATATCTAGTTTTTATACATTTCTTGAATTGGTATAAACCTAAACATGGGTATAACAAGTTATTTCTAATCAAGTTTTTTGTAATACAAGATTATTTTTAGCTTGTAGTTGCATTGGTTGGTGTTTTGAAATTGGTGTATTTATAGTCTTTGTTTGTTAAAAACTTAAGTATTGTCACAGATTATAATTTAAAATGAAATCTACATTTTTTACTCAATCTGTTAATCTTCTAAAACCCATTTATACTTGTTTATTATAATTTTACTTTAAAACTAACCCTAACTCTAACCTCTATCTCTAAAAAATACATCTCAAAAAAATTTATTTTTTAAGATTTTATATTATAATTTCATTTTGATCTGGATTTCATTATGATCTGTCACAAGTATCATTTCTCTATATATTACAATTCTATATCAAGTTAGATTCTATAGTACTAGAAATACTTCTGATTTTTAATATGATCAATCTTTTACTACAAACTATTTTTATATTCATTATTTCTTTCACTATTCCAGTTTAATTACTATTATATTATACTTCCAAGCAAAACCTATATTGATAATTTCTGTTTGGGATTTATATATGCAATCAATAATTATCTTCTGAAACAAATATTTCACAAGTTAAATATAGAGATGTTGATGTTGTCTAAATTGGTAATATAAAGATATTGGTATTGTTTTGTTTTCTTATACAAGGATTTATTTATATAATTTTTGTATAATTTAAATTTTCTATAATATTGCTATTATATATAGTATTTGTATTTTACAATTAGGATTTCTTTTAAAGGATGTAGTGATTTAGTGAAGTAGTAAAGTTATCGCACCCTCAAGCAGTTGAGTACAAGTTCAATTCCTACTGAAAACAAAAATTGAATTCGGAAAAATAGATTTAGCAACTATCATTATGGTCGAAAAAACTCGAAATCCTGTAACTGTAGTTGTACCAATTCATTGAAACTAGAAGATCCTGGGCTTTTGTATAATAAAAAGGTTACACAAATATGCATAAGTATCGCAGAAAGCCACAGAACCAATATAGCGATAGAGTGCTCGCTTGACAAGACCTGAATAAAAAGATAATACAGATCTTTAACAGTATTACATAAAGAATCATTATTGGTGAAATAGCAAAAACTAAACAAAACTAAAGTGTTTGATAAGGCACTTTACCAACCAGGCTACCAGGAGAGTAACCAGAGAAAAAAAATCTAACCATGAGAATCAGGAGCAGGTCACAGCCCTTTCGAGCCATCTGGATTGGTAGTTTGGGGACAGTTACAAGTAATGAATAATAGTCTGTAAAGTGTATACCAGGGTTTGGGTGAACTCTATAAAAGCAGAAGTAGGTTGTGTAGCAACGATTAGACTATAGTTAGTTAAAATATTTCAGAAAAATTGGTAAGAACAAAATAGCTGGAGAACACTTTCACTATAAAAACTGGTCACAAGTAGTGGGTCTCGGCCTGTACATATTAACTGAAGCCTAAATTAGTTAGATTGTTGGTATAGAAAACTCTAGCAAATGATGCTTTGAGGATAAATTAGTTTTACAGATATAGCACGTATCTGAGTTTTCTTGAAGATGATTATATCAAGATGATCTGGTAATACAGGTAGAAGTATATTATAGAGAGTTTAAATGGGTAACACCCGTAGTTGGGTTACAGGTACAGTATCTAGTATAGAACCTAGAAATAGGCAAACTACTTAAAATAGATATCAAAAGTGTATATATGACTAGTATGTATTTATCTAATATAAGGGTTTCTCAAGGAACCTCTTGTTTCGTATTTCTGAATAAAAAATCTCAGCCTCGAAGAGGTTAGTTAAAAAAAAAAAAATGAGAATTTTTTTTAAAAATTATTTTTTCAGATTCATACTTGAACTTGAACTTTTACAAGACTTTATAACTGATTATAACTTTATTAAATTACAAAAACAAATTCAAAAATTTGTTACTAGCCTGACTTGAACCAATTTTGACAAAAAATAAAATCAAATTTACTATCATATGGGATCTTGGCTAGGAAAATCACCCTTCGACATTTTCCGATCAGGCAAATTCAGAAAAATTCAAACCAATATTCAAGTATTTACTTGCATGTAAATCATTTTTGCCTTTATTGGTTCAAACGTTCATTCAATAAGCTATTGAATCAATAAGTGCAAATCATGATTTACATGTAAATATGAACCGGCATGTTAGTTTAAAATGCTCTGAATTAACCCGATCGGAAAATGTCGAAGAGTGATTTTCCTAGCAAAGATCCCATATGATACTTGAAAAACAAATTTTGTTAAGTTAAAAATTTCTTTTATATTTGAATTAAAGTTAAACTAAAGTTAGAAAAAAAAGCAATATAGCAAAATTATTTTTATTAAGATTCTAAGAATAGTTATTAGACAAAATTTTAAAGTAAATATGATTTTTGCAAAACAAATATTTGTTTTAAATTTTTAATATTATATTTGATTCTATTTTTTAATTGGCTAATACAGTAAATATCAAAAATCATATGACAATAAAATTAATTTTATATTTTAATATTGTTGACTCAAACTATTAACTTTGTTTATAGATGTTTGAAAACTTAACCAATAAGCTATAGAACCCAAATCTTATAAAAATCCTATTTAGTATTTGTTTAATTTATAATTACCTAAAATAAAATAATAAATTTATCTTTTAAACTATATTTCAGGCAAATTTGTCTAGAAAATTTAATTGCATTTAGTATTTTTTTAAATAAAACAATAATTTATTAATAATATAGAATATACTTTCTTCATAGAATATATTTACAATATAAGAATATATTTTACAAATTTTATTATAAAAGTTTTTTAAGATTATTAATAAATTTTTGAGCAATAAAATTTTAAAGTTTTGTTTAAAATTTTTTATTATTAAAAATTTTTCAAAATTCTTTAAAATTTTATATGTTCACAAAGTTAAAAAAAAATTTTGCTCTTAATACAAGTCTAAATTTTTATAAGTAAATTATAAAGTTATAATAATAAAAAATATCTTTCTTTATATAAATTAAAATATTGTATTAAAAATTATTTCTTTAAAATTAATATTTAAAGAGTTCGCCAAGAATAAGTTGATAACTTTTTCATTAAAAAATTTTTTTAAATTGGTTTATTTTAATTTTATAAATAACTAAGACTTTTTTCTTATAATATAAAATTAAATACTGCTATAATATAATTCTTATTTTCAAATATTATCAAAAAAAATTTATTTAAGGAAAATTATATTCATAATACTATGTTATATAACACCTTTATGCTATATTTCAGAAATATACTAAATAAATAGGTGTAAGTACTCTAAGTAAAAATATTTATCATTCTTGAAAACTTTATGAAAACTGAAATTGGGATCTATTGGGTCCTTATATCTAATATATATTGTATAATAAAAAATCTCTATTTATCTTAATATCAGACCCTAACCCTAAGTAAAATATAAGAGTGTTATATTAACATAGTGTTATGAATATAATATTTTTTATTTAAATATATTAAAATTTAAAAAAAGTAGATTATAACCATATTTATAATAATTTTCTAAATAAATTTGCCTGAAAAAGTCTATAGTTTAAGGGATAATAAAAATATTAATAATATAATTTTAGTATTTATCAGATATAATATTTTATTTTATTAAACAAATTAGCTAAATATAAATAATAAAAAATATCAACACTACTAAAATGCACCTATGGTGTTAAACACTATAATTGGCTATATCTCAAAAACATACTAGCTAACATCTCTAAGGAGTACTAAGTAAAAATATTTAAAACCTCCAAAAACCTTATGTAATTAAAATTTTGACCTTTATATCTAACATCTATCTTACTCTAAAGTTGCACCTTAATCTTAAATTTTAGTTAAAAACTTATTAATACTATAAACACTATAGG